TGCTGGTCCGTCCAGCCATTAGGTAGACCTGCAGCCCTGGCTTCCTCGAGCAAACCCAAGGACCAGCCGCCCCTTTTCAAGAAGTGAAAATATTATTAGTGAATAATCCTCCTGCTAATAATATACTCTGTGATAGCGAAGATATTTGTTCAGTATTTAGTACTTCAGATTCTTTTGAAGTAGTCTATTCTCCAGAATATTTGAAGGGCGTTATGAGGTGATATTTGATGAGAGGGGATTACTAGGAAAACGAACAATATTGAACTACAAAAATTGGGGCGATACGGCTAATACTCAGTATCATCAACCCGCTCATATATTGGTCAATTTACAATCGCGTTAAGAGCCGTCTGTGCTGCTATATTTTCACGGCATAAAGTTGTCAACGATATTTAGTTACAGCTTAGAGGATATCGGATTAGGGATCCGGAGACACAAAGAGTAGCAGATCCGAATAAGGAAATGTGTGAAAGAACGTAATACAGGGAGACGACTGGCACACTCCAGCAGCTCCACCGAGCCCCCAGCTACCCAAATTGACAGGATAAGTGCTCGACAGAGACAATCCTTGGCAATGACTTTTCTAAATAAACATAAAACAGACGAGCAACATGGCGGGTTATACCACCTTTGCCAGGACAGGATTTATGTCACTAGTCCCTGCCGTCTTTGTCGAATATATTTCGTCATCGCGCCACCCTCAATGCAGGCTATCAGTCCCTGTATCTCTTCCAGTATCATCCGCTCTGGATTCTTCTGAACAGTGCCACGTGCCCCCAGTAAAAGATTATTTGACAAGCGTCGGAAATTCCAGACTGTCCTAATCCCGCAACTCCAATTATCCTTTTGCCGTGGAGTAGACTATACCGATTTCATTAGTATCTTAGAAGGTGTTTATAGGCCCCGGACTGATATTTACCACTTCTTCAAAGGTGAATCTTAAATCACCAAACTGCTCCTCCACCAGTTTTGACATACGTTCGGTGGTTTCAAAATCGCTCATCGAATCGTAATGGCGTATTGCCCGCTCTCGATCGTTGACCTCAAGTAGTGAGAAATGGTTCGCCTGGCGGTTGATTGGGCAGAAAAATACCAAAGTGGCTTTCTTAGCTTTTGCCCGGAGCGTCGCTATCTTATTGGCCCATTTCCGTAATGGCTGGTTAATCGGCTGAAGTTGATTTTCGCTCCGCTCGTCCAAAGCGATACTTAGATTATAGTCAACATATTCTGGTTTATCACAGAGCTGCATAAGAGCGTAGATAGTCCACTGATTTAGCCATTTACCCGGGCGAAGCTGGTCAAAGATGTCGCATGATATCCCACTACCGTTGTTGATTGTAACCGCATCATCAATACCAAATGTTTCCTGATGGAGTACCTTAGTCTTGATATTATGGATCAAGTACTCAATTGCTGCATTAAGTTGACCTTCGGGTAGGGGATCCTTTAATACTTTGATTAGTCTATATGCTAAGTATAATAGATTGATCACCTACCTCATCCAAGGCAAAAGATATTGATAGTTCACGGAGCGTGTCTTGGGGCAGTAGTTCTGCTTTATTCAAATCATTATAGAACCTATGAAGATCTGGTAGCGCATTCTGGACAAGTTGCTCTAGCTGTGGTTCTAGGATTTGGAGCAGCTTCATATGTCTAGTATCGGCTTGAATATCCTTTACCAGAGTGTTAAACCGGTCTTTACTTAATTTAATATATTTCCTACTATATATTAGTAAAAGGAGATATCACCGTTCTATTGTCTCTTACCAGATATTTCGATCGAATAATATCCCAACACCAAGTTCTTCCACAAGCTTTATACACATTTTGCCTCTATTGAGCTGCATTTTAATGTGCTGCCTTTTCTTGTCCATCGCACATGTACCGGCAGGGCGACCTTTAAATAGAGAATTGGATTCATCTTCATGCAATGATACCACTCCCACTCCAGTGAAATATCTGTTCTCTATTGTATCCATTACGTGCGATCTCGCACCCTGGGACTTCACCGGTTGTTTGTTTTTCGTTTTGACCGTTTTCAGTGCCAGTTCGACCTGACTATTATACCATTGCCAAGCTCCCATATATTCGAGCATATTCTCTATAGTAACTCGACGGCTTTGGGAGGCTCCCATCTCAAGTACCTGTATCCACGTTGCACCATCCGACCAATCGTTGCTGGTAGATACTGCGCTGGCTCCCGGTTGTTCTTGCTGAGGCGACTTGAGGATTTGTTTATGTATATCTGAAGGAATTCCATCCTGGTGTTTAATAAGGCCATAGATCGTGTACGCAGCCTCAGTAGTCAAGTCTGTAATAGAGCGTGTTGCTGGGAATATTATCGTTGATGTAGATCGGCCAATTGAAGAGATACTTTCAAGTGATGTAGGAATTTTCTCCCTATATATTTCCTCTGTTTGAGGTGAGGGAGGATTAGAGTTGATCAGTTTTGGGGGAGTAATAGAGATCTGTTGAGTAGATAGGAGTTCTTTGCACAGCACTGATTCCGGTAGGACGTGGGGCAACGGCTCCTTATGTTGACTTTGCATCTTGGAGCTCGTAGCAAAACCTTCGCTTCCTAGCGTTGTTGAAGCGTCTGTCGGAGCGTCTGCATCTGTCATTGGTGCGTCTCTATCTTTCTTGTTATTACCATCATCTCTTTGAGATGAACTTGTCAAAGACCCGCCGCGGAAATCGCTAGACGCCCCGAGATTTTCGTCCAAGTTTGATTCATCCCCGGATATACTGGCTGGGGGGGTGGCTCTATTCGTCCCCTTCGGTGGGCGATAGGAGGGATCTTTAGTTCGCTTGCGCTTGCGCCCCGGGGAATTTGTAATATTCTCTTGGATTGTTTGGGCAATCATCTGTGCTGCTTCTGGAGCTTTTTCACACAGTTGTTGAACAGTCGTATAGAACTACTATAGTTAGCCAACGGTATTTCATTGGTATAATGTCTAGTATACCTCTGGTGTGTGACTGATGTCGATATCTACATCCGAAGTAAGTATATCGACAAACTGGCGGAGGTGTATGATCAGCCTCTCCTGGACCTTTCGCGGCTCCTTGGATTCCTCCCGCTCTTGCATGGTAATATTTGACCGCGGTTGAACTATTTGAGGTTATGTAATGGGCGGGTGGTGCAGGCAAATATAGATGGGGTATGGGGAAACAGTAATCATCGAGGGATCTTGGACAAACCACTATCGGCATTGTACGGAAGATAACCCTTGTCTTGACCCTTATGTTAAATTGTATCATCTAATGTAAGATCCTGTATTCTTTCTGGTAGGGTTGTAATATTCCTGGCTTCTTTATTGTCGCTTAGGTTACTATGTAGCAGATAAAGCTCTCGATAGTCCAATGGTAATTCTGATACATCGGTCTCTGATCCAATATCTGCTCTCTACAACGGTCCTCCTCACCAGTGGTTGTGGAAAGTTTATAACCCTGGAGGCTGATGGATCAGTCTGGCTTGGATCCGTATTTGTCAATGTCTGTCCCACGTCGATCACATACCGATGCCTGGTAGTGTACTATTACGAGAACAGAGGTCGTAGTATGCCCGAACACGGCATGCATTTACTCGCAGCCCCTACGACTAGTCAACGTGTAGTAGGAAAACATGATATTGTGTTTATTTGCGTGGAAATATAAAACATGTTGGCGACAAGGAACGACGGTAGGGCCTACTGGGCTAAAATGGTTTTGTTAAAACGGCGCGAAAGCATTCCACTGTGGACGATAAAACACCTAGGTGCCTCGTAAGTGTCTATGCGACCAGAATAGAAGGCTACAGTAATCTCTGAGAGCGGGATATTCTCTCATTTGGGCACCCAAAAAAATATCTTCGTTTGTCCAGCGAGGATATTTACTCGCCGTGGAAATAGACCACCACGTGGAAAGTGGTGATTTGACGGAATGTATAGTGGCGTAGGCTTGCACTTGCCCGTGATAGCATAGCTGCGGAGGCCGTTCTGTCAGACCATTGAGCTCAAGAATACATAAACCATGTTTTAGATAGTTGACTATTTATACATTTCTCAAGCAGTCTGCCCGCCTCCGAGCCGGCCAATTTTCAGCTTCACATCATCAAATTTGCATACTAAATTCTATCGACCGTTGTTCGCTCTTTGTATTATAATTACAGAGACTTTTCACGAAACGCGGTGGGTCACGCGGGAGAAAGTGGTGATTCACTCTGGGGAGTGGGTCAAAAGAGTACTGAGGTATACTCTATACTACACCTGATGTCCGAACAAACAAATGATAACGGCGGTGAGATTGGTCCTGTTGCATGTGGTTGATAACTAATTCAATTCATCGCTATATCCTCTGGGCTAAAGTAGTTAGTACAGCACCCTGGCCCAGGAGCCAATCAGTGCGTTGTTCGCCCAGAGCCTCCCACATCGGGGTCACCACATACCCATCCAATGGTCTGACCGTCAAAGCGCAGTGTGTACAGGGGTCAAGGCAGCTTCTCGGAGTCTTGGCCGGTCCAGGTGAGCCAGTGCCCCAAGCACATATTGGTGCTAATCTTTACACTGATGACAGAATCACAAGTGCTCTGAAACTAAGCAGAACTAGAATTTCGTGCCCGCATTTGCGTGACGGAAGCGAAAACCGAAGATGGAATAGACCCCGCCGGTACAGCACACATGTCAAATCAACGCAGATCACGACGGCTGTTGTTCAATGCCTCTTGTAGCTGAAGCGCCCCTTCTGGCATTTGCTCAGTTGATTCAGCAGCTGAACGAGATCTTAGTTCTGAAAGCTAGAGAGGAACAGGCATTGGACCAAATATGTTATAATTAGAAACTTTGTAGGAGACGTCCAAATCAGTTAGAGCTTCGTATCAAGCTCGCTCTTCCACATCACGATGACACTATGATTCTGGAGAGATGCCACAAGCCATGTAACCTGATCAGGCGAGGTGCTCCCAAGAAACGACTAGTCCAGTCCGGGGTTCGGCTCCGCGGGCCGTCCTGTTCAGTCGGCTATGTTCAAAGCTGGAGGGATAATGCTGTACGAGAGACCCGTCGTGGTGCCGATAGATCGCAGGCAACAAGACCTGATCCATCCAGATCTGAAAGTCCTGGTCCCGGAGGCGGCTGGACTGCTGCTCCTTCCGGTAGAGCCGGGGAAACAGTAAGAGAAATATCCTCAAACCCAGTCAGCCGTCCAAAGGTGTAGTGCGGGGTCTCGTGGACGGCGCGAAGAGCCCCGTGGGATCGGCCCTGGGGATCCAGGTACTGCACGGGCAGGGGATCGAGGTGGAGACTGGACTGGAGATCAGACACAGCCATCTGGGTCGGGTTCCACCGTACCCCCTGCTTAGCCACGGTAAGGCTCGATGCAAACCCAACGATACTGTTAATATCAAAGGTTACCTCCGTTACCGTGTCGCTGCGATGATCGGTCGCGAGATAGACATGGACAGGATTAGCATGGGATGGCTCTGCGGAGATCCTACAATACACCTGTTACCTCCGCTCACTACTGACCTGACGAGCAAGGTGGTCCTCCCTCCGCGCCATTGTCGGGACCCGCAGAATATCCGGAAATCCGCCCTCGGTTAGTACCCGTTCCAGGTAATCTTTCAGGCCCGAATGATCTGTATGCTGAGTGGAATGCTGAGTCTCCCGTTGGCGGTGGTAGTGTATACAGCAGCCATGGTGGGTGTACAGTTGATCGGTTAGGGTCTGCCCAAGGGCCTGTACAGTTGGGAGGATCTCGGGATCGGGCGAGTCTAAGCGATTCGGTGAAGTACTACGCGGGATAATAATTTCTACAGAGACGGTCGGGAGAGGTGTGGCAGACAATGCCAGTCTCAGGCGCGATCGAGGGTATATTATTGGGAATAGGGTCAATGGGTAGCGTCGGAATACTAAGAGGTGGCAGCAACGGTTCTAGTTCCGCAGGAAATGTTGGTTCGTTCCGGGGGGAAGTAGGTCGCAGTGGAAGGATCAGGCTCAGGCAGCGCAGCAGCCGTGGGCAACATTGGATGCTTGTTTCTGTGCGGTGGATGAATAGACACGCGGTCGCCCTCGTTTACGTACGGGAGGAATAGGTGATGGGGGCGCCATGGGGATGGAGCAATTGGTAGACGGCTACATGTTGCAGAGAAAATAATTGAGGGGATTAAGGGCGGAAACAACGTGCGCAGGGAATAAAGACGATAGATTATAATATCAGTATACCTAGTCTGAAAGCAGTAAGCGTGGCGGTCACGACTGAAATAGGCTTAGTTTTGACTACGAAAATCTAAACGGGTTTAGTTTTGACCATGAAATTCCAGCGGTATGCTTAGATAATCTCCGTTCACAAAAACTATCAAAATCCCGAACTTGGACCAGGGATATCTCAACAACCACAAGAGCTATCTCAAATCTGATGGAAGATTCGTACTCGGGAGGGCCCTATTTATCATTCCTGAAAGTTTGGTACTCACCAGTTGTGGTTGAAGCCCAAGTCGAAGGCGGGTTTTGGCTAGTGGAAGCACATGTAGGGTATCCAGTCCCTCACGAGGCGACCTTGCTTACATTCTGTCGGTTTTACAAGGTTAACTACTTAAATACTTATCCCAAGTTAGTAGCAGTACTAAATCAAGGCTAGTAGAGATAATAGATCCTAAGAGATACATATTTTCCTCTATATAAAATAGATAACATGGGTAACTTATTATAAAAACTCAAATAAGGGCGTTATTCTCGGCGATCCTAGATTTAAACCGCTTATAAAATCTATTTATAGATTTACTTTCCAGGCTACAAAGCAAAATACTATATTAAAATAAGATAATAATAGGAACTAAAGTTAAGAGGCTTGCCCAATAAAAATATACTGATTCCTTATATTTAATTAATTTTTTATAAAATCTTCTAGCTAAACATAGTAAAGCACAGGGTTAAGTTAAAAAATTAAGAAAAAATAAATATAGAACCATTAAAATTAGGCTAGGATTTAAATTATATATAATTAATAATTTAAATATACTTAAAAAATCATAGTAAATAATTTAAATCTCCAAAGCCTCGTTTATTATATAGTAACTACCTCCTGTATACCGATACCTATATTACTATTTAATCTATTAAAATCTAGTAATACAAATATCTATATAACGAAACTTCTATTAAATCTATTATTCTTTCTTTCTAGTCTTATTCTCTACTTTACGTTTTTTACAAAGATTTTCCAACTTAGCTTATTTAACTAACTCTTCTAACCGGCGCTGTTCGCGCTATTTCTTTACTTCTATATTAATATTGAAGTCAAAAGATTTAATAGATAAAGAATAAAAAAAGTTATTAGCTATCTTTTCCACAGTATATTTATTATCAAGCAGCTCTTTATATCGATCTTCTACTACTTTTACAACCTATTTATTTTACTTTAATTACTCCCATACTTTATTTAATACCCTATTATCTCTAGTAATAGAATTCAAAGAGACCTCGAATATTAAGAGTACTGGAAACGAACGTTTATTATTTTCAGCCAAATTTTCAAAGATTATAAATAAATTAAATATTATAATTAGTATTAGCATAACGGGCTATTAACTAAGAACCTAGAATTAAAATAAATTAAACATAGAATTCCTTACCAC